AACCACCCCCAGCGCCGTGTTTGCTCAGAGCAGAGGCAGCGCCCTGGCAAGCCCAGCTAATGTGGGAGATTATGTCAGCAGCTGCTATTGCTGGGGAAAAAAAAAAATAGTAATAAAGAAAAAGAAAACCTGTGTCTGGTGCATCCCCCTTCCTGGGGCAGGCTAGAGCCAGCTGTGCTGGCCGTGGCTGGAGATTTATTCTCCTGTTAATGCTCCTGGGAATGCTGCTCCTGGTCTGGTTACAGTGCCTGGCTGTGGCTGGGCACGGTGAATAAATGCCCCATTTATCCCCGAGGTGTCAGACCTCGCATCGGTGCAAACCCCAGGGGAGGTTTAGGCATGGAGCCGAGCAAAGCCGGCTGTCCAGGCACCCACCTGGCCGAGGCTGCAACGCTGCCCGGCTCCAACCACCCCCTCAAGGGTTAAATGTCAGCAGCTGCCACCAAGGAGCCAGCCCCTGGGGTGGTAGGGATGCCCCCCGAGTCAGGGCCTTGCATGGAAGCAGATTTTGGCATTTACCTGTTCCTCCAGCCATCAGTCAGTTCCAGGCTCCAGTGCTGCAGGTTTACAGCCCAGCTGTGCCGTGGGCATCCGACGGCGATGCGCAACCCACTCGGGGCTGGGCCGATGCTCATCCCGGCAGAAGAGCACCGGGGTACCAAAACCTGGTGTTTCATACATGGTGCGTGTTGGAGAGCTTCCCTTAGACTGAACCGCAACAACGGGGAAAGGGTTTATCCCAGGCAGGGGTCATCATCTTGGCCAAGGCTGAATACCTGGCTGAGCAGCATCTTCCTAAATCAGCATCCAAAAGTTAGTGTCCAGCCCATGTCCTGCTTCTCCGAGTAAAACATCTCTGCTCATTGCTACAGCCCCTTTCACCTCACCCTGTGAAAGCTGAAACAAGAAGGAGAAAGCACTGGGGACTCCAAGAGGAGAAAAAAATTAATATTCTCAATTAAATGACATGGCAGCTCACTGGCATCTCGTGTCCCTGCTCTGGGGTGAAACCTCCAGTGATGCCTCAGGTATTTTATAAGCACCTCTGCAATTTCTTTTATTGCTCTAGAAAACGCTGCTGCGTGCAGGGCTGAGTGGGATTCTGCAATATGATATTCAGGAGTGACTAAAAGCCGTGGAAAATCCTCCTCCTCCTCCTCTCACCCCGCAGCAGCTCAGCTCGGGCAGGGAGAGGAGCCCCAAGAAAGTCACCCGGCAGGAGCGGGGGACAACTGCACGGGTGGCAGCTGCTCCAGAAACTCGAGAGGAGAGGGGTCGGCTTCACCGGCCCCCCACCGCAAAAA